AAACGCGCCGAGGCCCCGTATGCAACTCATTACTTCCCCAATGCTGCTTTCCCACGGCTTTAATTGCTTTTTTTAATCACCTGCTAACGAATACCGATCATAAACGGCGTTAATCAGCGATCTTAATGAAGGAGCTCGTTAATGAAAGGCTGCTTAACGAACTTTTGCAGCTCTTCTGGGAGAAACGTTTACGCGGCCTCAGCGCCTCCGACGTCGGCCATGAGATCCTCAAAGCCATGGAGCTCCCACGGGGACTGCAAGGTGACCTTTGACCTCTGGGTTTGACCTCTGACCTCAGCTGGTGACCTTTGACCCCATCGCTTGACCTTTGACCCCATGGATCCCATAGGATTCACCTTTGACCCCATAGAAGTGACTTCTAATCGAATTGGATGTTCCCCCCTAAACATCCCATACGGGTGACCTTTGACTTCTGAGCTTGACCTCTGACCCCTGGGGTGACCATTGCCCCTATGGGGTGACCTCTGACCCCATCAGTTGACCTTTGACCCCATGGATCCCATAGGATTCACCTTTGACCCCATACAAGTGACTTATAATTGAATTGGATGTTCCCCCCCAAAGATCCCATAGGGCTGACCTTTGACCTCTGAGCTTGACCTTTGACCCCTGGGGTGACCGTTGACCCTAGGGGGTGACCTCTGACCCCATCGGTTGACCTTTGACCCCATGGATCCCATAGGATTCACCTTTGACCCCATACAAGTGACTTATAATCGAATTGGATGTCTCCCCCTAAACAACCCATACGGGTGACCTTTGACCCCTGGGCTTGACCTCTGACCCCCTGGGGTGATCTCTGACCCCATTGGTTGACCTCTGACCCCATCGGTTGACCTTTGACCCCATGGCCCCCATAAGGTTGAGCTTTGACCCCATAGGATGACTTGCGATCCCATTGGATGCCCCCCCCTAAACATCCCATAAGGCTGACCTTTGACCTCTGACCCGCTGGGGTGACCTCTGACCCCACGTGTTGACCTCTGACCCCATTGGTTGACATTTGACCCCATGGATCCCATAGGATTCACCTTTGACCCCATACAAGTGACTTATAATTGAATTGGATGTTCCCTCCCAAACATCCCATACGGGTGACCTTTGACCTCTGAGCTTGACCTTTGACCCCTGGGGTGATCTCTGACCCCATTAGTTGACCTCTGACCCCATCGGTTGACCTTTGACCCCATTGATCCCATAGGATTCACCTTTGACCCCATACAAGTGACTTATAATCGAATTGGATGTCCCCCCCTAAACAACCCATACGGGTGACCTTTGACCCCTGGGCTTGACCTCTGACCCCCTGGGGTGACCTCTGACCCCATTGGTTGACCTCTGACCCCATCGGTTGACCTTTGACCCCATGGCCCCCATAAGGTTGAGCTTTGACCCCATAGGATGACTTGCGATCCCATTGGATCCCCCCCCCTAAACATCCCATAAGGCAGACCTTTGACCTCTGGGTTTGACCTCTGACCCCATGGGGTGACCTTTGACACCACGTGTTGATCTCTGACCCCATCGGTTGACCTTTGACCCCATGGATCCCATAGGATTCACCTTTGACCCCATGGGATGACTTGAGATTGCATTGGATGCCCCCCCCCCAGAACATCCCATAGGGCTGACCTTTGACCTCTGGGCTTGACCTCTGACCCCATGACTGACCGTTGACCCTAGGGGGTGACCTCTGACCCCACCAGTTGACCTTTGACCCCATGGATCCCATAGGATTCACCTTTGACCCCATACAAGTGACTTCTAATCGAATTGGATGTTACCCCCCAAACATCCCATAAGGCTGACCTTTGACCTCTGTGCTTGACCTCTGACCCCATGACTGACCATTGACCCCCATTGGATGATCTCTGACCCCATAGGTTGACCTTTGACCCCATGGATCCCATAGGATTCATCTTTGACCCCATACAAGTGACTTCTAATCTAATTGGATGTTCCCCCCCAAACATCCCATAAGGCTGACCTTTGACCTCTGGGTTTGACCTCTGACCCGCTGGGGTGACCTCTGACCCCATTGGTTGACCTCTGACCCCATCAGTTGACCTTTGACCCCATGGATCCCATAGGATTCACATTTGACCCCATGTGGTGACTTGCGATCCTATTGGAAGGTCCCCCCTAAACATCCTATAAAGCTGACCTTTGACCTCTGTGCTTGACCTCTGACCCCTGGGGTGACCATTGACCCTAGGGGGTGAGCTCTGACCCCATAGGTTGACCTTTGACCCCATGGATCCCATAGGATTCACCTTTGACCCCATAGAGTGACTTGCAATCAAATTGAGCCTCTGCCCCCAAACATCCCATAAGGCTGACCTTTGACCTCTGGGTTTGACCTCTGACCCCATCGGTTGACCTCTGACCCTACAGGTTGTCTTCAAAAAAATGGGGAAAAAATCCCAAAAATGGGGGAAAAAATCCCCAAAAAGGGCAAAAAATCCCCAGAAACACGAAAAAATTTCGAGGGTTTGACCCAAAAAATGGGGGAAAATCCCCCAAAAATCCCAAAGAATCACCAAAAAAATCCCAAAACTGGGAAAAAAAATCCCAAAATTGGGGAAAAAATCCTAAAAATGGGGAAAAAATCCCAAAAATGGGGAAAAAATCCCAAAATTGGGGAAAAAAACCCATAAAGGAAAAACAAAAATGGGAAGTTAGGGATTGAGAAATCCCAAAAAATATCCCAAAAATCACCCAAAAAATCACAAAAAAAATCCTATAAATGGGGAGAAATCCCAAAATTGGGGAAAAAAATCCCAAAATTGGGGAAAAAATCCCAAAAGTGGGGAAAAAATCCCAGAAAATGGCAAAAAATCCCCAGAAATACGAAGAAAAAAACCTTCATGGATGCAATTGAAAAAATAGGGGAAAAAACCCCAAAAATCCTCAAAAAATCCCCCAAAATTCACCAAAAAATCCCAAAAATGGGGAAAAATCCCCAAAATGAATTAAAAAAATCCCAAAATTGGGGAAAATTGGGGAAAAAATCCCAAAAATGGGGAAAAAATCCCCATAAAGGAAAACAAAAAACAGAAATTAGCGATTGAGAAATCCCCCAAGAAACCCCAAAAATCCCCCAAAAAATCACCAAAAAAATCCCATAAAGGGGGAGAAATCCCAAAATTGGGGAAAAAATCCCAAAATTGGGGTAAAAATCCCAAAAGTGGGGGAAAAATCCCAGAAAATGGCAAAAAATTCCCATAAATATGAAGAAAAAAACCTTCAAGGATGCGATTGAAAAAATAGGGGAAAAAACCCCAAAAATCCTCAAAAAATCCCCCAAAATTCACCCAAAAAATCCCAAAAATGGGGAAAAATCCCCAAAATGAATTAAAAAAATCCCAAAATTGGGGAAAATTGGGGAAAAAATCCCAAAAATGGGGAAAAAATCCCCATAAAGGAAAACAAAAAAGAGAAATTAGCGATTGAGAAATCCCCCAAGAAGCCCCAAAAATCCCCCATAAAATCACCAAAAAAAATCCTATAAATGGGGAGAAATCCCAAAATTGGGGAAAAAAATCCCAAAATTGGGGAAAAAATCCCAAAAATGGGGGAAAAAATCCCAGAAAATGGCAAAAAATTCCCAGAAATATGAAGAAAAAAACGTTCAAGGATGCGATTGAAAAAATAGGGGAAAAAAACCCTAAAAATCCTCAAAAAATGCCCCAAAATTCACCCAAAAAATCCCAAAAATGGGGAAAAATCCCCAAAATGAAAAAAAAAAATTCCAAAATTGGGGAAAAAAACCCAAAAATGGAGAAAAAATCCCCCAAAATGGCAAAAAAATCCCCATAAACGTAAGAAAAATATTTTCGAGGGATCGACCCCCAAAATCCCAAAAATCCCTGAAAAATCCCCCAAAAATCATCCTAAAAAATCCCAAAAATGGGAGAAAAATCTGAAAACGATCCAAAAATGCCCAAAAATGGGGAAAAAAATCCCAAAAAAGGGCAAAAAATCCCCAAAAAGAGAAAACAAAAATGAGAAATTAGTGATTGAAAAATCCCCCCCAAAAATTGCAAAAATCCCCCAAAAAATCACCAAAAAAATCCTAAAAAATGGGGCAAAAAGAGGAAAAAAATCCCAAAAATGGGGAAAAATGTCCCAAAATTGGGGAAAAAATCCCCAAAAATTGGGAAAAAATCCCAGAAAATGGCAAAAAATGCCCATAAATATGAAGAAAAAAAGCTTCGAGGAATCGACCCCAAAAATCTCCAAAATCACCCAAAAAAATCACCAAAAAAATCCCAAAAAATTGGGCAAAATGGGGAAAAATCCCCAAAATGGGGAAAAATGTCCAAAAATTGGGGAAAAAATCCCAAAAATGGGGAAAAAAAATCACAGAAAATGGCAAAAAATCCCATAAATATAAAGAAAAAAACCTTCGAGGAATGGACCCTAAAAATAGGGGAAAAAACCCAAAAAATCCTCAAAAAATCCCCCAAAATTCACCAAAAAATCCCAGAAATGGGGAGAAATCCCCAAAAATGAGAGAAAAACCCTAAAATTGGGGAAAATTCTCAAAAAATGGGAAAAAAATCCCAGAAAATGGCAAAAAATCCCCATAAATATGAAGAAAAAAACCTTCGAAAAATCGACCCCAAAATCCCAGAAAATCCCACTGAAATCACCAAAAAAATCCCAAAAATGGGGCAAAATGGGGAGAAATCCCCAAAAGGGGAAAAAATGTCCCAAAATTGGGGAAAAAATCCCAAAAAATGGGGAAAAAATCCCAGAAAATGGCAAAAAAATGTTCACAAAGACGGAGAAAAAAACGTTCGAAAAATCGACCCCCAAAACCCCGAAAATCCCCGGAAAATCCCCCAAAAACCACCAAAAAATCCCCAAAAATCGCCATTACTTCCCAGTTTGACTCCTTTCTTTCTCTTTTTTTCCCAAAATCCCCCTTTTTTCCCCCAAAATTCAGCCCTAGGTCCCGTCCCAGACGACGTCACCTTGCTGTCGGCCGTCGCCAGCGCTCTTCACATCAGTTCCATTCCCAAGGGAAAGAAATCCCCCAAAATGGGGCAAAATCCCCCCAAATTGGGAATAAATCCCCAAAGTGGAGAAAAAAGTCTCCAAAAATGGGGAAAAATCCCAAAAGTGGGGGAAAAAATGCCAGAAAAAGGCAAAAAAAACGCATAAATATGAAGGAAAAACCCTTCAAGGATGCGATTGAAAAAATAGGGGAAAAGACCCAAAAAATCCGCAAAAAATCCCCCAAAATTCACCCAAAAAATCCCAAAAATGGGGAAAAATCCCCAAAATGAAAAAAAAAATCCCAAAATTGGGGAAAAAAACCCAAAAATGGAGAAAAAATCCCCCAAAATGGCAAAAAAATCCCCATAAACG